TTAGGGTTGCCAGATTGCCAGCTATCGATTACCGAACACCAGTGGCGGCTCGTGCTATATGAAAATGGGTGGGCACAACTTAGTTATGTGTGTTTTGGGAGTGGGGTCACAGAAGACAGATGCACAGGCAAAACAAAAAAAAACACAACACTTGCAAAATGTGATCTGTTCATTTGTTGAAACTTGTCAATGAAATGGCAAGGCAGTTTGTTTAACCCTAGATGCAAACCTTCGCATATGGCATGGAGCTACCGCTTACAACACCAGTTCCTTGAGGTACAAGTTACCAGATGACGATGGTACCTAAACCTATTTACTAGAATTACCGAACAAATTTGTGTTCGGTTTGCCTTTCATTCCGGACACGAACAATTGAGTTAATTACCGAACAGTCCGAACGAAATCCGGACGGTTGGCAACCCTAACCTACTCTTTAAGTTGAAAAAATATGGATCTTAACTTGTTTAATACGGAAGCATGGCTTGCTAACCCTAATATTCAAGTCACAAATGGGCTCGTCTGTTGACTAATGGGTCCAAGGCAGACGAAAGCTGAGGGTCCGTTTTTGTGGCACGCGGAAAAGTATGCCATGGTCTTCCAAGCTGAGGTTTTTGCTAAACAGGATTAATGGTGAAAAGACAGAACCACCCGGGACAGCATTTGTTATCTCAGGACGTCAGAGAGACTCCCACAATTTAGTCTTGCCTTCACATGTAGCACATGTCTATTTTATAACTTTTATTAACGGCCTGCACAACGGGTCATTAGATCTGACTGTTAGGAGTAACTTCGCCATATTCCACAAAAAACAACAATTTTTTTAATATAAAGTCAATATGTTCCCCTTTTATAAACCTGTATATCTATTAGAATTCTCAATTATGGTATCTGATTTGTATATTCTATAAAAAAATAATTTCTATATTTACTGTATTTATTTTCCAGGGCACAAAATTATGGATTATTATGGAATACCTCGGGGGAGGTTCAGCATTAGATCTGATGAAAGCCGGAAATTTCGAGGAAATGCATATAGCAATTATTCTTAGGGAGGTGCTGAAAGGCCTGGATTACCTTCATAGCGAGCGTAAATTGCATAGGGACATAAAGGCCGCCAATGTATTGCTGAGTGAGATGGGAGACGTCAAACTTGCTGATTTTGGTGAGTTTATTAATTGTTGACGATAGTTAATTTTTGTGTATACTATATTGTTAATGTCAATATAGGACAGAGCCTTCATAAATGATTACACACCACGTGACCAGTGATTTTGTTTGGAACAGTAATTTTATTTCCTTCACGCTGGCAATTAAGTTTTGGTAAAATTAGAACAATAAGGTCAGAATTACAATAAAACGCAGCATTCTGTTTCACCAGCTGTGTTTGATGTAATTTTTCATGAGATTCCATTTAACCAATCAGCGCTCACATTATCTCGAGTGTAGACGTAACGGTTTGTCATTGTACATTGTAAACAAATCATTAATATTGGTGACACCAAGATGTAGGGAATTTTCGTTACCAACATCAGCCCTGTATTGTTGGTTGCCTAAGCTCGATGATCACGTGACTTGTAAACATTTATGAAGGCTCTGTATTTAAATATTCAAGTGTATATGTGCCAATGCCTTTGTGTGTCTAATAATGTAAACAATTATATTCCTCAATCATGCACTTAGATATTCCTAAAAATCTACATACTTGCAAGTCAAATTGAGTAATGGGATTCATTCATACAAGTTATTATTTAAGACCAAAATGTAGTCTCAAATTTTAGTATTTATTATTTAATGAGAATAAATGTTACCATTTTGTTCATTGCCGATTATTCTTCAGTAAAGTGACAACTATCCATTGAAATATTACCATTCATATTCATGCACACAATTTGTCATTATATTTTATTTAAAAGGACCAATTTTAAATTATGTAATAGATACATTTATCTAAAGAACGTATTTGATATTATAGCAGTGTTACCTATTTAAGACGGAAACAGCCTTACTAAAGAAGAATATTTAAAAAACTATTATTTAAATAAATTTTTATTGTCAAGACCTACTTATTTATTTTTTTGTTTCATTGGTACAGTCAAATGTATAGTGAAAAAAGATTTATTATTAAAATCATTATTAATAGCTGTTTTACTTGACAATTTATTGATCAATTAATTCATGAAGTCGCTTCATCAAGAAATTGGACAAGTGTAATGCACCAAATCTGCTGTCAGATAGCTTCATGAATTTATTCATCAAGTTCTTGACGAATTAGAGCATGTTCTAATTTTCGTCAATTTCTACGGGAAGTTCGGAAGTACCAACCCAACAGATTTCCAGCCTCAGATCAGTAATGAAGTTATGGTATTGGAATATATAAATAATTGTGTGTGCCTTCGTGTTAGTTTTGCATTGTTTTTACCGATTTGTTACTTACAAAAACTAATATTTATATAATGTGTCAGAACAGTACCGCTGTTGTATCACTACAATTATGAGTGGAAATGTGACATTTTTGAAATTTATTTGCTTCTTTGATTAATTGGTAGAACTGATTCATACGTCAAAAAGCTTGACAAAGTCTGTAGCAGTGTAAAACCACACTGTTTACCAATAAATTCGTGAATTAATTCATGAAGAACTTCGTCAATTTATTCATCAATAAATTGTCAATGTAAAACAGCTATTATTTATATAATTTTGTTTTATGTTTTTCCAAAATTACCCAAGCAACGGAAGTAATATGTAATTATTTAACAAAATATCCTTTTTAAAATATTAAAATTCTTAATTTTCTTTGATACACTTTGTATATCATTGAATATTTTTCAAAATATTTCTTAATTGTTGGAGGTAATCAGACAAATTGTTATCTAATGTAATTAATGTTGTTAATATATGCATTAGCTAGATGCAATCTATGTCTTCTCAATTTAAATTCTTCCATAGGAAGAAATCCAATGGAATAATCTTTGGAGATCGGGTCAGCAGTTCCATTTCTAATAGTAATAACTACATAATATTTCTTAATTAAGTAAATAAATTCTAACTTTTCTTCTTCTTTTTAAAATTATAAACATTCCAATTTAATAATCATTAATTAATTTGAATCCCAATAAAATGGTCTATTTATTGATTATTCAATAAACTATTTACGAAGAATGATAAAAACCCTTAATACTAATTTTGTCAGCAACAAAAAAATTCACTAAACTTAATACAAGCTCTTTTTAGGAAATGCTGATTTGTCAGATTATTGATGAGATGGAGAGACAGTCAGGGTTGATTGAAAAAAAAAAACAACAAATTTCACCTGTAAAACGTCACTTAATAAACAATTGCAGAATTCTACTAATCGTTCTGAAACAGCTGAGCAAATAGTTTACTTTAAATCTGTTGTCACAAATAAAAATTCAAAATATAGGTGAAATGTAAGAATGTTACTTTGGTTACTGCTACTCGAAGCTTAGGCCTTCAAATGGTGAAACTAGAAGCGAGCGACCTGCTATATCGCAGGTACTATGAAAGCAAGATCTGTATTGCCATTACTTTTAAATTTTTATATCCAAATACTATTAATGATCATTTTGTATTCCACAAAATAATACAGACACTAGTGATATTAAAAATATATTAAAGTAGTTTTACATAGGTTATGAAAAATAAGTAATTTATCTGTTATTGTTATTAATTTATTTTTCCATGTTGTTTTATCTAAATTGGCGAGTTTCGAACAATCATTTGTTCAAAGATTAAGTGGTAGAATACACTAATTGAAAAAAAATTGACAAGTAGGTTTTGATAATTAAAAGTTAATTTAAACCTTGAGTTATGTAATGGAGTTTTTTAATCCCTCTTAAAAAAACCTGAAGCAAATTGGACCATAATACCTTTTTTAGGGATGTTTTAATTTTAAATGTAGCTGTTCCTTATTTTATATAAAATGTTTCCATTTGGGAGTTCTAAGAAATCCTTCAACAAATTCAAAAAGTAAAACATACGGTTACTTTTGTTGTATGTTAAAGCAAATTGTTATTTGCAGGTGTTGCTGGTCAGCTGACAAACACGACGAGTAAGAGGAACACATTTGTTGGTACCCCCTTTTGGATGGCTCCCGAAGTTATAAAACAGTCTGCTTATGACTCAAAAGCAGATATCTGGAGCTTAGGAATTACTGCAATCGAATTAGCTAAAGGAGAACCCCCTAACTCTGAGCTGCATCCTATGAGAGTGTTGTTTTTAATTCCAAAAAATAATCCCCCACAGTTAACAGGAAGCTACAGTAAGCAATTTAAGGATTTTGTCGAGGCTTGTCTGAATAAAGACCCTGAGAATGTAAGTGATTGCAGTTCTTTTTAAATTTATATTTTACATTTGTTCACATACTATACAGTCTCGCCAAATGAAAATAGTGCTGGAGACTAAATCAACCCATCTGCATGCATTTTAAAGTGTTGAACACGAATCGGAAGTTAGTTTTCATGCATCAAGTCTTTATTTTTCCTATCCTCAAAAAATAAGATAAAAATTCCTGCAGTTGCACATTTTGAGATGTGAAACACATTAATGGGCCAGCAATCATTTTGGGGTTAGAAACATAATAACAAGACTTCAAAAACATTTTTGCAATGTATATTCTTTTTTTTATTAAAATATGGACCTCTTTTTGGTCCACTATCAGGATTTTTTATGTATGCTATGATAATATAGCCATAAAACTATTAACAGTGCCACATAACAGTTATGTTTTTTACATACTGACAGGCAAAAACGATTGAAACTTGTTCAAGTTGAAAGTAAAGTCATGCATTGTATTGGTGGACTATGGAAATGATTTTTCCAAGTATTCGAAGCATTTTTTATCTTTATCCAGAACTTTATCCCATTTAATATGAAGTAGAGGAAACTATCTTTTTAGGGTCAAGATTTTAACGATTTTTAGGCAATTTCTTGGGGTTAGGAAAAACCTGTGATCTGATCGTTGAATATTGACGTCAACTCATATTCACCAGGTCAAAATATATGCTAATAGATTATTCTAGTCTCCAGGATAAACCACTTTTTAAATTTGGTGTGCTTGTGTGAGAAAAAGATTGTAATTTTCTAATATAAAATAATCCCGATATTGATAAATAAAATAGGCTATCGTTTGGATACTTTTGTATGCTTTGCTACTTTAATCTATATTCTTAAAACTATTAAACTTTCAAGAAAATACAACATTTTTAACACATTTGTATACCTACTGAGCTCATAAAAGTAAAAAGCTGTGCATCAAATATTCAGGGTGATTTACAACATATCCAAAAAAAAAACATATATAAAACATATAACCTCGCACAATGTGACCGGCATGGCCGTAAAGTGTAATAAAAACAGACAAAAACTTGAAAGAATTTCGCAGGGAAAGGAATAAATGGAATTTTATAGCACCTATTTTATATAAGCAAATTCAACTGCTTTTGTCGCTATTTTTATTATTAATTAAAAAAATTAATTTGTGGTTTTAATTAATAAAATAACTTGATATACCTGATGTTACGACTGTTCAAAATTTTGTCCACCGACCTGTAAACACATTTGGGCCCGTCTTACTCAGTTTCTACGAACTAACACAAATGTTGTCCTGTTTCACCATAACACAAATGTTTCACCATAATACAATGTTGTCTTGCCTCACCATAAATTAAAACGATATCCATCAACTCTGAGTTGCTATACATGCAAGCCATTTTTTCTGACACTAACTACTAAAAAACTATTGTAAACACTATCGCAACGACGATTGTAAAATCGGATTTCAGTATTAGGAGTCGCTGACGCCACGTGGCTCTCTACGCGTATTGCGAATGACAGTAGAACTACAGTTATCCATGTTTGAAAGTAGGTACTACAACTTCAATAATTTCTTTGTCGGAAACTATAAGGATTTTACAAAAATTTTTTTTGATGATATTGACTCCATTTCTCATACCGCATCTATTCCCAAATTTTTGGATAAGTTGTGAATCACCCTGTATGACTTTATTAATGAAATACACCATTTATTTAGATCTCAGGAAACAGATCAATTTTGCTGATTATCATTTTGATATGTGGTTTTAGGACTACAGAGGAGAATGAAAAATAATAATGGCACAAGATTCTCATTAGAATGTATCTTGTAATAAAAACCAATTCAACCCTCATCATCATACAGAATGAGCATAAGTGAATCTATTTTTTGCTATTTTTTTAATAACAAGCTTTCAAATGGTGTAGTACTTGGTATCTCTGTAGTCTATCATATTTGAAATATTTGTGATTTTTCATGAAATATTAGGTTCAATATCAATAGAAATATCAAATACCAATTCATATGGCCACATACTTAATTTATAACATAAATTACAAATTAAATGTAAATAGTTTATTTCGAATATGTGGCATGTCATAATTTTACCATAATCTACCATGTTATCTGTTCTGCTTAGAAAAATTTTAATAACTTCTCATAATTGATGATATTATATATTTTATGTGATCTAAAATATCATGTAAAATTATAACTGCGAGTTTACCTTAACATTTTATAGTTTGAAATATTCATTAACAATGGGAAAATCGAAAGCTGAAGATACTACATGTGAAATGGTGACCATTGGCGTAAATTTGTCTTATCCTAAAGTTGATGGTTTCGGAAATACAGGGTGTTGAAAGTTAAAATTTTAAATCGTTTTCTTGCGATTATTCTGAAAATATGTAGGTTAGGAACTTGAAAATTTGTGAAACTATATTTTTTTAAGCGACGAATAAGATGCATGTTGTAAATTCAGCGTTGTTCATAGAGGGCGCCACTTATGACCAATTTTATCGAAAATTTAGTTAATAACTTTTTACCCTGTATGTCCAACATGAAACTTGGTTCAAAACCTGAAAGAGGAATCATTTTTCCATTAATTATGTACTCTTGTTTCATTTCAGTATCTCGATGCGTTTTCGAGAAAAATAGATTTAATGAACACTATGTTTTGATAATACGAGAAAGTAATAGCGAAACAAACTAAGTGTTTCTTCATGTTATTACAACAATTAACAATAAAACAAATGAAATCCCTAGGTAATAATGATTTAAAGTAAGTGTTTGAAGAATCCACCGTTGACACTGATACACTTTACACGTTTTCTGAGAGATCTTCGAGTTTGAAACAACATATTGGGATTGCGTCTAACTTCATTGGCAGCGATTTGTATTCTTTGCCTCAAGTCTTCATACGAACCAATAGATTCTTTGTAAACGATATCTTTCATTCGAGGCCAAATAGAAAAATCAAGAGGGTGAAGTCTGGTCTTCTGGGTGGCCAAGCAAAAATGCTTCCACGGCTTGAAGAAGTTCTACTTTATTTAAGAAGAGACGTGGTTCATGCACGACGGAACTCCTCCGTATTTTTCTCGGCCAGTGCGTGCATATTTAAATGTAGTTTTTCCAAATCGCTGGATTAGCCATGTAAGCATTTTTGCTTGTCCACCCAGAAGTTGTCCTGTAAGTTTCATACAATGTGTCTACGGATTGAGTGCACTTGGGGTGTAAATGACAAACATTTTTCGAGTTGAAATTTGAGCTTCTGGGTTTCATCTCTGCTTCGTCTTAAACTAAGAAGTTGAAAAAACTAGTCCAATTAATTAATGCATATGATGAATTTTCAAAAATTGTCAAGAGTAAAGTACTTTTGTTTTTAAAAATATCAAAAGTATTTACTTAAGAAAGTTATTGAGAATTAAAAGTAATATGACAGATTGTCAATTTTTAATTTGATCGGCCAACCTTGTTTTTTTTCTTTACTTTCAAAAAGACGGACACTCATCACATTCAACGCGAATCATTCGAGAATGGTTAGATGGTCAATTTCCTGGACGGGGGATTGGGCAAAATGGTTCAATTCCTTGGCCTCTTAGAAGTCCTGATTTAACTCTAATGGACTTTTATTTATGGGGCTAAGCAGAAAGTCTATGGGTCCCTGCTGAATAACGATTTATTTGAATTGAAACAAAGAAAAAAGATACAATTAATGCCATCCCCATTCAAGAAATCCAAAACTCCTACACAGAATTTACTATGTGAGCTGAGCGATGTGTAATGGTTGGTTGTATATTTGAATAACTAGTATATTATTTGTTTATTTATGTTTATTATATTAGTTACGTTTTTTTCTCTAATAAATAATTAGGAATTTGTACTTTGTGGCTGTGAAAAAAAAGAAAGTTGGCCTATCAAATTGAAAATTGACAAACCTTTAGTTCTCAGTAACTTTCTTAAATAAATATTTCTAATATTTTTAAAAACATAGGTACTTTACTCATGACAATTTTTGAAATTTCATCATAAAAACATCCTGTACATCAATTAATTGGACCAATAGTTTAAGACCAAGCAGAGATGATGCCCAGCAGCTCAAATTTTAACTCGAAAAATTTTTGTCATTTATACCCCACATGCACTCAATCCGTGGACACAGGTATATTGCTAGAAAAATGAAATTTATGTAATCTCCAATTTTTTTCTGTTTTAAAAAGCTTTGTAACTATGAATTTTTAAAAAATATGGACAAAATTATATATATTTTTAACTGAGTTTGAAAGTTTTTAAATGTGCCATCGAAAGGAGAATAAAGTGTTATCTCAAAATTGAATATGGTGTCCATAAAAAAAAAGAATGTTGACAGCCATCTACCAAAATCTAGAAGGTTTAGAAATATATTAATAAGTTATTCAAAAAAGAAAAATATTGCTTTCATAAAATTCCATATTTCATGTTCCAAAAAAAACATCATTCAAGAGCGCTTATCGTTGCTTTTTTCCTATGGTGAGCATCTTTCAGTAAGTCACCTTGAATATACAGCGTGTGTCGGTAGTGTGCTACCCTAAATACAAACTTTGGTAAAATTGAAATTGTACTGAATGCCACAAATAAATAAATATGGACAATACAGTTTATTACAGAATTAAGTATTTGATTATTAAAGTACTAATCACATTTTTTTGCAATAGCAATGAGTTTTAAGAATTTACACTTTAGGTAAAATATATAAGTATAAATGAAGTTCATAATTGTACTTAATCTACATTATTATTTGATTAATGAATTAGAACGGTTCTTTGCACTACCTTCTTTATTCAACTTGTTTCTGCTTATTTTTTAGAGACCTACAGCCAAAGAACTGCTCAAGTATCCATTTATTAGGAAAGCGAAGAAAAACTCTTATTTAATCGACCTCATAGATAGATATAAGAAATGGCGATGTACTCGGAATGAAGAAAGTGAAACAGAATCTGAAAACTCTGATTCGTAAGTCAAAATAATAGTAGGTATGTGTAACAGTGAGTATAAGCCACATTAATATTTCAGAGAAGAGCCTAAACAAGATAATGATTTAGACGATCCATGGATAATGACGGTAAAGGGTAACATGAAATTACCTCCAGAAGAATTACCAACTCCTAATCATAAAAATACAAATAAAGTACAAAATGGTTCAGGACCTATGTTAGCGAAATCTCCACCTAAAGATTCCAACCTCAATCATTATAGACCGGAAAAAGCAACACCAGTGAGTATACATACTCTCTTTTTCTATTATAGTTTTACTGTTGATCAGAGAAAAAAATCTCGGTGCAAATATTAACGAGTCTGAAAAAAGGTTCATTCTAAAATTAGTGAAGTGTGTACATTGTGTCGCAAACAAAAATATGGTACATAAAACTTTTGTATACAGGGTAGTCCTAAATTGTTTCCAGATATTTTCAGGATCAGTAAATAATACATTCGAGCTAAAAATTTGTGATTAAAACACAACACATTCAATTAATCATTAAAATTTATTTTGTTTCCTTCAACATTTGAAACAACAATTTTTTTCCAACGAACAACTCGGTCATCAAAGCACTTTTTAAACACATATTCTGGTATACATTTCAAGTCTTTCGTCGATTTTTTGTTTTATGGTTTCTATCAACTCGTGTTCCTTTGTGTGTCCTTGCATAAATCTAGTCTCTCTCAAACGTCTTATAACACCCAAATAATATCCTTTGTTGACTGTTTCTACATCCGGGAGGAATTATATGTAGACAACATCACGATAGTCAAAGAAAACGGTCAACATGACTTTGATTTTTGATCGACTTTGACGGGATTTTTTTTGGTTTTGGCTCAATAGAAAAGTGCTATTCCGACGCTTTTTGGCTCATTTGCATGACAGACTCGTAAACCCATGTCCCGTTACTTGTTATAATGCGTAGCATGAATGTAGAGTTCAGACTAGCTCGCTGAAGCATGTCTTCAGCAACATGTTTGTGATGCTCTTTTTGAAGAAAACTCAGATCTTTTGGAACCAGCTGTGCTGGTACACGTTTCTTACCCACAACATCAACTAATATGGTGCAAAGTGATTTATATGCCCACTCTTTCAAACTATAATGATGGGTTGCAAGCACCATTTCCTTCACTTTGTCCATATTTCCTTCAGTTGAAGACATTGAAGAACAACCAGAACGTGGAAAGTCATCAACCACTTCTCGATCATGTTTTAATACTTTGTACCATTCGTATTGTTTCCAACATTTTCACTCATTCAGCATTAGAAATTTCATTGGTGGCACATAATTTGAAGCAAACTCTTCAGTAACATTATCCATAGCATTTATAAATGTAGAGTATATATGATGAAACAAACTGAAAATTAATGTATAAAAAATTAAATTGTAAAAAATATTTGACTATTTTATATCGGTTGTCATGTTTCAAACCCAAGATAAAGGTAGATAGGCTTCATGATATCCAAATACAGTGAAAAGCGGTTGTAACGACCTTCAAGGGACCGTTTGTTTATGGTTGTTATAACCGATATACGTAATAAACAATTACATATATTTTATTTCAAATTTTTATAGAAAAAATGAGAAATTTACAATACAAGTCTTTAAGTGTGTGCATGTATTGCTTTGTGTTCAAAGATCTTGTGTGCTTCATTTTCAATGAATTGTTTTCGAATAGAGACTTTAGGCTTTTTTCGCTACTGAATATTGGTGAATACCTGACTTGTAGTTACTATTTCGATCTCTTTCGATCTTAGTTGTTATATGGTAGTTTACATCTTTTCATTCACTCATACTACACATACTACAACATTCAACTTCACTCGTGAAAAAAAGTCTTTTAATCTTTCCAAATTGTTGAAATCGTTGTGTGACACGCCACATTCTTTTGCTTGCTTGCATTAGTTAGTCCGTTTTTTAATTTCTATATTATGTGTGATTTTTCTTCTTTATTAAACACTTTTCTTTTTGACATCGTGGTAGAAAGTGGTAATTAATACATATAATAACTGTATGCGTAGATGAGTCATAATTTGTCCTAAACATACTAACTGGTGTCAAAAGTGTGGATGCCGCAGGGTGGGTGGAAGAGCGGTGCATTGGTTTAAAGCCTGGGACAGACGCTCCGTTACGCACAATAACTTGCTTGCACAAACTTAATGTACGGCAAGACTAAATCGTGATTTGACCACTAACTATTCAGTTTTGTTGCATCAATTTGCGTTCAGTTATAAAAATCAATATGGTTGATGAGCTGTTATTGTGTTATTATTGATTCTTTTTTTATCGCGTCTTTATTGGTTGAGGGATCTATCTCTTTTAACTCTTCTATTAGTATCTCATGCGCAGAATTTTTGTTTGTTTGTCCAAATACTCTTTGGATTTTACCTTTCAAAGGCATGGATTTTTCTTGTATGGGTTAATGAAATCTGTGAGGAACTCTCTCGAAATTAGTCGTAGGTCCAACATATTTTAATTCAATAATTTAAGTTGATCACTATATTACATACTAATTTTATATGTGTACAACGAATTTTACTGCTCGTTAATAACAAGAAGACTACATATAAGTTGCAAGAACTACCAGACATTACAATTTGCCGCTAGACAAGTCTGTACGAGCAGTGAAATTATCTGGCAGGTTTGATTTCACTCAAGCCCAACAATTGCCTGTACAGATTTAATAAATTTGCCAACATATCAGCACTAACGCAATGATAAATCGCACAACTTAAGTTTGCACAAGCAAGTTGATGTGCAAGACGAAGCATCTATCCCGCGCTTTAAGGCCGTATATCACTATTGGTCGTTATAACCGGTAGATTCTGTGGTAAATGTATACAGGGTGTTTCTAAAATAGGGTTCCAAACTTCTGCTGCGTTTATAACTCATTAAAATAAGCCAAAAAGTTCCTATCAACATGTGCCCTAAAATGCACCCTTAGGAAGTTATATTCCCTTAAAAGGGCTCAAACAAAACTGTTTTTTTTTCTGTTATTTATATTTATGTATGGGTCTTACATAACTTTTTACGTTAAATAACATGGGCCATTCCGTTTCTCGGCATGCAAATCATATGCGTCCCATTTAGGTTGGTGAAGGGGGTTTTTGGCCCGTAATTTTTTTTATTTCAATTTTTTTACAATTTTCTCTACAGATTTATAAAATCTTNCTTCAAAATTATGCAATAAGATCGCTACTAGCTTCTTGTTCAATTGCCCCTTATGACGTCAGACTAGTTTTTAAGTAACGCAAAAATTCATAAATGATTTCTACCACTAATTTGTCATATATTTAAAATTTGACTATACAGGCATGTTCTTTTATATAAAATCTTTGACTCAACAACAATTTGTATATGGTTTGTTTTTATAGTGGACAACCCTATTGCCTGTACAGATTTAATAAATTTGCCAACATATCAGCACTAACGCAATGATAAATCGTACAACTTAAGTTTGCGCAAGCAAGTTGATGTGCAAGACGAAGCATCTATCCCGCGCTTTAAGGCCGTATATCACTATTGGTTGTTATAACCGATAGATTCTGTGGTAAATGTATACAGGGTGTTTCTAAAATAGGGTTCCAAACTTCTACTGCGTTTATGACTCATTAAAATAATCCAAAAAGTTCCTATCAACATGTGCCCTAAAACGCAACCTTAGGAAGTTATATTCCCTTAAAAGGGCTCAAACAAAACTGTTTTTTTTCTGTTGTTGACAAAACGGTCGCAAATAAATAGAAACAAATGTATGGGTCTTACATAACTTTTTACATTAAATAACATGGGCCATTCCGTTTTTTGGCATGCAAATCATATGCGTCCCATTTAGGTTGGTGAAGGGGGTTTTCGGCCTGTAATTTTTTTTATTTCAATTTTTTTACAATTTTCTCTACAGATTTATAAAATCTTTACAATTTTACGGAAAAAATATTATCTTTGTCCAAATCGATATTTCCAATGGTTTTCGAGTAAATTGAGTTTGAAAATTTTAATCCCATTATTTTCTATTTCACATTTAGCTATTGTCTGCAGTAGTAATTAGTTCTTTAATTAGTAAGTGTAACTCTAAATTTAAATAGTCTTAGTTTATGTCCTAAATTATTTATTAAATGATCGGATCCTTCATAACTGCAATTTATTTGAAAAAAAAAAAAACAGTTTTGTTTGAGCCCTTTTAAGGGCATATAACTTCCTAAGGGTGCATTTTAGGGCACATGTTAATAGGAACTTTTTGGCTTATTTTAATGAGTTAACGCAGCAGAAGTTTGGAACTCTATTTTAGAAACACCCTGTATAAAAACGCGTCGCTAAATCCGAAATGTCATTGTAAAGGTGTCGAAGTAAACGATATTAATATGGTATTTCTATAGGTTTTAATCGGGACTTCCAAATTTCATAGTTATATCCAATATGTCATATAAATCAATGTCGTTATAACCAATTTTAGCTGTACATAGAATCAAAGGCTTCATTACTACATGTTATAAAAGATAGGGTCCAAATGTAGAGGAATTAAAGAGGTTTCAACTGAAAGGACAGAAGGGGGAAGAAAATGCTTCAGTTTAAAAAAAATATATTTTTATGTTTTTTTTGCAACTCTGTACATATATCAATAATTTTCAAATACACATTTTTCAGTCTCATTTGTTGTGTTTATTCACTTGAAATTTTGTCTAATTTCGGTTATTCTAAATGCTAGTTAGTCAGCTACATGAGACAAATTGAGATCTTAGGTAAATATAACACAATTCCTGACAACATTAATTTTCAAATGAGTCAAAGTAAGTGCTCAGATGTTTGTTCACATATTTTTACGCTTCTAGCCGTCAGAATCTAGAGGGTATTGCAATTGACACCCTTACATTTGACAAATTAGGCATTTATCGTTATTATTTATTACATGTGTTAGTTTTATTGTCCTATTATAACAATTTAAGTAGCAAATTTGACTCTTTTTGGGGTGCGTTTTTTTAGATCTAACAATATCAACCAAGCTGCCTTCTGGCCGGCACGGTCTAAGATACTCTAAAATTGTAGACAATGTCAACAATTAGACCATTTGGCAGACGATAAAGAAATGTTCTTACACTATGTTCTGAAAAATCCCTAGATTTTCTTTAAAACTTAGATAAAAGTCATTGGTTTACCCTAAAATTTTTATAAAAATAAATAATATTGGAGTTAAAGATCTATGACATTTTGCAATAAAATAAATTAAATATAAAAAATAAATTTTAATAAATTAAAATACTATACAAATAAACAATATTCCTTTTGAAATAATGTATTTGAGACTAAGCACAAGCTTGACTAAGTAGTAAAAATAAATAATTGTCCTAAGGCTTATGAGTACAATGTCAAATTATTTTGATAGAAGATTTAGGGTTTAGTGAAATTAGTACAATATCAAATAACTGTCTGAAGGACTTCGGTCAAGGCCATTTGGTTTATCCAATAAAATATGTCTATTAATATTAACAAATAAAAAAACCAATCTAAGAAGGACTTCAGAAGCTATCTTTTAATTTTTTTGAATATTTTGTTTTCTTCTTATCCTTCATTTAATTGGAAATTAGAACCATAAATGAAAAGTTTGGTTAGTTTGATGAATTAATCAAACATGCCGTGACGTCAAAATGATGTTTTCAAACTATTTTGATGAAACAAATTTAATGAAAATTTGATAATCTTTGATAGGTTTTTGGAAAATATGACCTGAGATCAAGCGGAGATTTCAAATTTTAAGGAAATGGAAATATCTAATTCTTTCATAGTATAAGTAATTGATGCAAAAACATAAAACTGATTTTAACATTGAAGATGCATTTACAATCATTTTCCAACATTTTTTAATGATATAAACTGTTTCATTTTTTGAATGATAGGATCAACCGTCCTATTCATTGATTTAACTCGATCACAGTTTTCAAAAAGTCCTCTTAAGAAAACTTAAGTTCAGTGAGTGGAGTTCATGTCAAAAATCAAATTTCGTTAATTTTAATTCAGTCGAAATAATTAAAATACATAATATTGGCTGCAGATATATTCTATTATGGTTAAGGCACACTGCAATCACTTCAAAATGATACCAAATAAGTACATAAGTTATATTTGTTTATGTTTATAGCTTCTGTGGCTTGATGTGGTTGAGGACAGGAACGGATTCAGATTTGGGAAATGATTTGTTACAGTGGACTAGATCCTTATTGAACGTGACATCAAATAATAATTTTATTAAGGAACTGATTAACTGTAATTATTTGTTTTCTAAATTTGAATCTGCGTTCAACAAGCTTGTTAGCTTGTATGTTTTTATCGCATGGAACTTCACATTTGTTTTTTAATGGTTAAGCTGATATAGCTATTGAATTATTATTTTTTTAATATTTGTTCCAAATATAAAGTATTAATATGATTTATATTTCTAAAAAGTTTAAAATTTTGTAGTATTAATAAAAATCCATTGCAAAGTTCCTAGAACTAGGAACTTTTCCCCTGCTCTGGTAATTCTGACTCCAATAACCGAGACAATCTCTGATCAAGTGTAAGATTGTGATAAAAGAAAGATCCACTAAATAGACAAACTATATTGGTTTTTGTATATTTATTTATAGTCTTCGAAATCTCAGGCAGGAGTACAATCTCCTTCTGATAATAGAAAGGAACGGGAGCGGGATAGAGACAGGGAAATAGAGAGAGAACGGGATAGAGAAAGGGAACGTGATTCAAAAGAAAGGGAAAAGAGGATATCGAGAGAATTGAGCCCTCTTGATCACCGAGGGGATAGTGACGTCGAGAAAAAATCAAATCGAAGATCAATGTCTAGGGAACATTCAAACTCAAGTGGCAAAATTGAAAGTAGGTCTCCAACTCTTTCTGGATTTATATATCCGTTAATAACAGAGGTAAAAATAGCTGATCTGTGTAATAAAACTTATAAACTGAACGTATTTGTGTATAGTTACAGAGAAAGCATCACTATAACGGTAGGGCTGCAGATAGTGCGCATAAGTCTAATGATGCCGTCGAGGAACTGAAAAATGCTTTTGAAATTGCTGAGAGGACGAGTCCTGGTATTAGTGAAATGTTTATCTGTGAACTAGTTCAGAAGCTAGTGCCATCAATTACGGATCAAAGGCTTAAAGGTGTTTTAGATAAAGTTACAAGGTAAGTAGTATTTACAAGATGTTTTAAATTTTAGTTTTATGAATTTCTATATTGAAAAAAATTGATTGAAAAATCTAGAGCTCTCCATAATTCATGAAGTACTGATTCGCTTTAATCAAAGATGTCACAAATGCTTATCACATCAATTTATTGGTAGATTTTTTTTTTAATGGATTTAAAGTGAAGATTAACCCGTCACATCACCATTCAGCTCAGCCCCATAATGACGTGTCGTGGTTAATAACTTAATTGATTTTTTGCTACTTCATCATTTTTATATTTGTATTAACACAAATTCAATATTGGTGTAAATAAAATATTCTAGTAAGGAAACCCGAAAACCAATAAGTTTATGAAATTAATTTTTAAAGTATACAATTAAATTTCTTTTAGAGTTTTCTTTTATTAGTTGCTTTCGAATAATAACTTTATTTTCATAAATTAAAAAATAAAGTAAAAACGTAAAGATAAAGTTTCTGACTGAATCTACTTTTATTACAGGGTGTTCAAACACCATAACCATCATAAGATAGATATTTTAAATTACACATACATGAATTTGACTGCAATTACTTTAACATGCGATAATTTATATCTAAGAAAATTTAAAATATACGGTGTATAACTTTGTATAAATTAATTTTTACAGATTTTTCTTATAAATTATTTTAATTAATAAAATATACAGAAACGAATCAATCTTCGAAATATTGTCCATTGTTTTCTTTTTCTATGACCATGCGCTATCTTTCATACCACAAACGGATGCCATTGCAAAAGAAACTTGTAGGCTTTGAAGTGATAAAATAATCAACGAATTTACGGATGTCATCTAGTGTTTTGGATCGGCTCTCCCTTAAAGCATGCTGCATTGACGGAAATTAATGATAATCTGATGAGGCCAAGTCTGGTGAATATGCAGTGTGCAGGAGAACTTCTCAACCCAAGTATAAGATAGTTGTCTGTGTCGCATGAGCAATATGAGGTCGGGCGTTGTCATGTAGCAATATGATTTGTAAATGGCCTTTTCTTCTCAAGTTATTTGCTCAGTGTGTTCAACTATTGGCTGTAACGTTCCGCAGTTATTTTGACCCTTCATGTCCGATCAGGTACAGAGGAGAACCTTCTTTGAGTGGATATTCTGTATCGGTACAGATGAGCTGGGCTGCCTGGGATCTACTCACAAAATTTTGCATTTAGGACTCTTATAAAAATATATTTTTCATCGCCCATCACAATTTTCCATTTATTCGTTGACCTAGGTTATGTTGAGTTAATGCATGTGATCCACCTTCTCGCTCTCTGAATTCCTCCCACTTAAACATTTGAGAATAGCTGTTTAGGAAACTCCTAGCTGAGCTACAAGTTAATTTTGCATTTGTGTTGAGTCTTCATCGAGTAGTCGTTGCAATTCTGCATCTCCAAATTTTTTAGGCTTCCGGTCACTGAGTTCAAAGCCACCAGTTTTAAAACACTTGTACCAATAAATACATGTTTCGAAGGACACAACATCAACACCAGAAAACTGCAAATAGATTCGCATGTGTTAGAAGCATTTTTTGCTTGTTGAAATTCGAATAAAATGTGCTGTTTGTCAGTTGCCATTGGAAACACTACTATCCTGCAAGGTTATGTTACTCACCCAGGTTTGTCAATCGGTGATACAAAAATTTTACATGTCAACCCTTTAAAACCACAAAATAGCACGAAATATTTCTATTTTAAGTGAAACTTTGAACTTGAAGAAATCTATCTGTAAAAATTAAGTTATACACCTGGTATATTATATAATGTGGAATCTAAACTTTTCACTTCTCTAGATTTATAATTATGACGTGGGGTGAATCTCACAAAATACCTCGCAAAATACTGTAAATACAAAATATCAGTCACATAAGTAATAATCTTTATTGAAGTAATTTTTTAACATAAATAATTAATGGTCAACTTACAAGCTGTGAACATATGTGCACCATAGACATTAAATATCAAAGACTTCACAAATGTTTACTAGCCACATGATCACCGAGCTTAGGCAACCAAGATTGCAGAGTTGGTATTGGCATCGAAAAATATGTAAATTGTGGTGTCACAAATATTAATGATTCGTTTACAATGAACAATGGTAAACCATTACGTCTATGTTCGAGATAATACGAAAACCATTACGTCTACACTCGAGATAATACAATCGCTGATTTGTTGAATAGGATCTCGAGAAAAATTTCACCACTCACAGGCGGTGAAACAGAATGTTGTGTTTTATGTAATTTTGATCTTATTGTTTTAATAATTTTTTATTTTACCATAATGTATTGCCAACCCGAAGGAAATAAAATTACAATTCCAAACAAAAATTACTGGTCATATGGCTTGTAATTATTTATGAAGGCTCTGTTAAACTAATGCAATTGAATAAGTGATTAATTACAGTAACATGAATCATGATATTATTTGTTATGTACTCATTAACATTAATTTAATTCTTAAACTCGTGTAACAATTTGGATGCTTTAATGTATTTGGGAAGTTTATTGTACTCCATTTGCCCTTTATAAAACACCAATATGGTGTAGTATAGATGCATTATTTATACCACAAATAGATTATTGGTATACAGTGAAAATTAGTTATAATGACCTTCAAGGGACCCTTTGTTTACAGTTCTTATAACCGATATATGTAATAACCAATTACCTACATATATTTTATTTCAAATTTTTATAGAAAAAATGAGAAATTTACAATACCAGTCTTTAAGTATGTTTACATGTAGTGCTTCATGTTCAAAGATCTCGTGCGCTTCATTTTCAATAATTAACGGTTTTCGAATAAAGACTATTTTATTTCTATCCTTCCAAATTGTTGAAATCGCAGTGTGAGAGCCCACATTCTTTGGCTTGCTTGCTAGTTTCTTCGTTTTCTAGTCTCTATAGTGTATATGATTTTTCTTCTTTATTAAACACTTCTCTTCAATATCATAAGTGGTAATTAATACATATAATATAACTGTAAGCGTAGATAAGTCGCAGTTTGTCTCATATGTACTAACTAATTGGTGTCAAAAGCATACATGCTGTCGGGGCGGGCGGAAGAGCGGTGCATTGGTTTTAAGGCCGTATATCTATAAATTTTATATTAAATGTATATAAAAACTCATCACTAAATCTGAAATGTCGTTGTAAATGGTGTAGTAGTAAATGATATTTCTAATATGGTATAGAGATACCATATTAAATATATATAATCCTATAGAGATAGGATTTAATTGGGACCTCTCAATTCCGTTGTTATATCCAATATGTCGTATAAAGCAATGTTGTTATAAATAATTTTTTCACTGTTTCAAAATTGAATGCAATTAATTCTTGTGAATGTTTAACAGTCAAGTTTAATGTGTAAAAAGTGCATTTAACATAAATGAAATGTTTGTATATCCATTGACTTGTAAAATTATTCTCATAAGTTAAACTGAATTATTTTATTCTTTTGTTAAAGCATGACCCATTCCTTACTAAACTCCATTTATTTCTTCATGTCTTTCTTCTGAAATTTTGTTATTTATTTTACTTGTTCTTTGTTATACTTATTGTATGTGTAATTATATGGTCTTCTTGAAAACTGTGGAATCTTAAGATTATATATTAATTTTTTTTTATCCATGCGTTTATGCTAAAATAAAAACAGTCGAATTACTGATAGGCTGTATTTTAAACTATACTCCGCGGTCGAAATTATAGAGAGTGACTAAGACATAATATAAAAACACTATTACCATAATGCGTATAAAATATAAAATGATTTTTATACGGTTCAATATTATTTATCTTTGTGCTGCTCGGTACGCACATCGATAGAATCTATAATCGTCTAGAGACCGAGTTACACTGAATGTCGATCTATATTCTATCTCTGTCTTTTGCTCTTGGCAGGGAATAGGGAAATGCTTTTTTAGTGGGTGGAAACGGACTTGATTTAATCCGCCCTGAGAAATGTCATAGCATAAGCGTAGACGAGGGGTCTAATTCCATGGCTATAATAAATTTATAAATTAAAAAAACACAATTGGGACGTTTTAAAATGCTGTAATAATTAAAATGGATCAAAGTGCCTGTTATAGCAAACCGTAAAAAACATTATATGTTATGTTTTATTATCTCTTTTCATTATTTTCTATATCTTGTTGCCTTTTACGCAGACACGCCAATGAATTTTCGTTCCCAGCATGCTTCATCGCCCTTACTAGTCCAAAAGCTAGCGATGAGTCACTCTCTATAATTTCGACCGCGGAGTATACTATCTTTCTATAATTTGGAGCTTCTTTATTTTTCATGGATATTAATAAAATATTTATAGGAATAAATATTTTATTAATTATATATATATAAAGGATTATAAGACTAATTGACAGTTTTTTTCTTTATTTTTTGGGTATTTTGCCACCTGTAAAAAAATTTTATAATTAGTGAAATAAACCATTGCGCCAAAAAGATCAGTCACGAGTTTTTTTTATGAAAATAGTTTTGTCTAACAAAAAAATCTCAAACTGAAATAAGCAGACTACAAAACACATCAATTTGACAATGTAACTAAAACGAAAAAAATTCAAAAGACGAAAAGAGATTGATTTTCGAAATGTTAATAATATTTTAAAGTGTGCGATATAAACTGATGTGTTTTGGTATTTTCTATTTGTTTCATTTTTCAGTGTGGTATTTTTTGGTTAAGCAAAACTATTTACAGAAAAATAACCCTTGACTGATTCGTTTGGCTCGAGGGTTTATCTTACTAATTTTTAAATTTTTTTCACAGGTGGCAAAGTATTAAAAAAATAAAGAAAGAATTGAATACTATGCTACAAATAAATAGTTTCGACAATATAGTAATTAACAGATTATTAAATAAGTTTTCTTTTTTCAGAGATACTTCGTAGAACTGTGGAAACCAAGAGGTTAATAGGAACTAATAGAATTTAGAAAAGGAAGTTAACAGTTGTTAGATTTAAACTAAATTTTGTCCCACATGTTACTACTTACTGATTACATGACAATATCTTATATCTCTTGAGCTTAATATATAGCACTGGTAGATCTAAGGATTTCCAAAAAGCATTTGAATTGTTCAAATTTTCAACCGCACCCTGCATGCTAACTTACTCATTCGTAATGGTTGAATTTTCAAATTTCCCTCACATTTTTTGTGAGTCATTTTAAAAACTATTAATTATTATTGCCAAGTCCTGCGGGATGTTGTATATATGTATATCTAGATTGAAGTATATTATATCTTTAAGATCATATTTTCTCTTGCAATGTATTTTTTTAGATGTGTATATACGTATTATGAATATATAATTATACTGTCTTTATTTTAATTAAAATGTTTAACGTATTGTGTCATCAGGTTCATTTCATTTCGTCGGACTATTTGCAATTAAATAAATGTCATGGTATAATTTTATAACTATAAAGGTGAAGAAAAGGTTAAAACACTTAAGTCCAAGATGAGAGAAAATAGTATTTTTATATTTTCGTGAAGAAATCAGACAATGAACGAATAGTACAAAATTTAAAGGAATATTAAAGAAAGAGTATAATGTGTATGGCATTTAATTAATTTCAAGATGCATGTTAACAAAGACTTAGTATATCTTAGGAATGATCCTGTGCTGCTGTATGTTATAAGACTTAATCACAAAAATGAGGTAAATGTTGCTTAACATGGTGAACCGATAAAAGTTAGGACTTTTTTTATTAATATTTTATGTTTCAACAACCTTTAAGTTCGTTTCTCGATTACTTGAATCAGCTGCAAATGTTTAATATTTTACGAGTAAATATCTTTATTGGAAAAAAAGGAAAATGTTGAAATAGTACAGGGTGTTCCATAATTCGACAGCCAAATTTTCTATTTGATGTTCTGAAACAAAAAATTCGTATAAACTAGGGGTCAGTTCTGTCTTCTTACAATTACAGATAATATAGTAGATGACCTGACGGTTTTACCCTCTGACTGTGTTCCTGTGGTTCGAAACGAGTGGTATGTCAACAAGACGGGACGTTACCACACAAGCCAAGTGGACGAATACATGGAAGCTGTGTGCTGTGCGCTGAAGTCTGAACTTTGTATACAGATGAAATTTTGTTCGGTTGCTCGGAAGATTTCCCACTATGCAGTTCTGTTGACCGCACATAGATAGCGTCACACTTCGACATAGTAAAACCAGTCTTAAAAATTTAATAGCCGAACTGTGTATACAGGGGGCCAAAAAAAAAGTTATGTGGAAGTGCTCTTGCAAATTTTCTTACATTTAATTTTTTTTAGAAACATCTTGGGATGCCATGGTGGATTTCCATCAGTTTGACCACTATTCATAGCTTTCCAAAATAAACAAATCATTTTTGAAAAGTCAATAAAAAGTACTGGGTGATAGTTTTCTCCGGTTACCTCTCCCTCTTAATGGTCAAAACTTTTAGTGGTCGTATTTTTTTAAAACGGGCAGCAACATTGAAATGGTCGTTTTATTTAAAAAAAATATTTTCCCTTTAGAAAATTGCCTACAGAAAGCCATTGAAAAAAATGGTATTATTTGCAGGTCTGTATGTTTCGGTTTGTATAGCAGTGTTATGGATTTAAAACTTCTGAGTTCAGTAGGCTATGAAAACAAGTTGTCGATTGCTGTGGCTGTCAGGGAATGTCATTATTGTAGTGTTTCTTTAGGATTCTCATCAGTCTACACATGCAAATTATGAAGTGTCCGTAGTGTATCAAAACAATTAAACGGAGTTGTAATTTTCATAATTTGCATGCGTGGAGTAATGAGAGTACTAAAGAAACACGAGAATAATCACATTACCTGATAGCCACAACAATCAACATCTTGCTTTTATCGCCTACTGAACTCAAAGTTACAAACGTACACACATGCAAATAATGCCATTTTTCTCAAGAATGGCTTTTTGTAGTCGATTGTCTCAAGACAATATTTTTTTTAAATAAAACGACCTTTTCAATGTTGCCGCCCGTTTTAAAAAAATACGACCACTGTAAAAGTTTTGACCACTAAAAGAGAGAGGTAACCAGAGAAAACTATCACCCAGTATATTGATTTGACTAAAGCTTTAAGAAATAATATGCAATAATGGTCCAAATAAATGTACCAAGTTATAATAACTTGGTACATTTATTTGGACCATTATTGCATATTATTAAATTAGTTTTATTTTTCACAACTTTGAAGGTTTGTAGGTAACTCAAAAACCAAAAAGTTTTTATTTAACATTTTTTTTTGGTAGATCGGTCTTTATTTATCGTCGTCAATGTGCAGTCAAACGTTGTCGGTGAAATTTGCTGACACCCTGTATATGCTTTTTAACTTTAGTGAAAAATCGTGCCCTTTAGCAAAATTTTTTAAGAGTAATAATTAAAATGGTGCCACATTCTTTTTGTGTATATTAAATTTGGTACTGGTACTTCAATTGGTTTAGAAAATATTAAAAAAAACATGTCAACAAGTCGTCTCCAAATTGCTGTATCTTCGTAAGGAGTCGGAATTGACTCCTATTTCATTTAAATTTTTGTATAAATTTTCACACTAGAAATTTGGCAGTTGAATTGCGAACACTCTTTTCTAGCAGATTTCTTCTGTAAAGTTTAGGTACACCTTATTTTACTTATGTCTGTTCAAGTCAACTAAAATTAAGGAGCGTTATTACATTTTTTTTCAAATGTATAATTATGCATGATCAACTGAAATTTAAAAATTCTTGCTAAAAAATTATTTAATACAGAACACTTATATTTGATAATAAATTATTTTGATAATATCCATAATCGTACTAAAGTTATGGATGAACACTAAATGCAACCTCAAAATTTAAATGTTAGAGGACTAATATTACTAACCTACCAATTTGCTACGTTCGATATTAAAATATTTATCATTGCCTTATGAAAGGCAAAAAAAAGCAAAGGAAAAATACACTTCTTCAGTCATAGCAGTAAAAAGCATTGTAGAATTCCTATACAGGGTGTTCCATTTAACACTCCCGCTGCCAATACCTCTAGAATTAAGAAGTTTATTTTAGTTCCGGAAACGGGTTGTTAGGTCCTTCGAAATTGCAATTAAAATTGTTAGTTCAAATCTTTCTGTATAGATGGCGTAGCGATACTAAAAAATTTTTTGATTTCTGGAACGTGGAAATGCGGTCCATCTGAAAGATCGTTAAGGAATTACTCAAAATTTTGCCCGTGTCGTCGACCTCACGAATTCGATTCAAAAGTGGTCTAAATAATAACTTGTGGTGATACTTTAGAGTAGGCAAAATTTTAAGTTGAGCATAGTTTTTGTTTTGGAGATATGACAAGTCGAACCTGTTATTTAGCTTGTTCACGCCAAGATGAATCCAACATTCTTGACACACTTGTTCATTGTATTTAAGATTCTCAAATATGCAAAGTGTACCATTTCATATGTAAAATCTTTCGTTTTTTTATGAATCTACCATTAGATTTTATCAAACACTTTGTTTTAATGAGGTACTGCGGATTTTACAAAAAAAATCAGGATTTTGCTGAAAATATTAAATTAATCTGTATTTTTATACTGGAGACTTACAAAATCTCGATAGATACTCTAAACCTTGTATCCGAAGGACTTTGAACTATTATTGAAATGTATTTCAATAATATATATAAGCCTCTTTACCTTGTCACGGTACTAATCCAGGAAGAGGTTCGTGTTTTTTTTTCTTGTTTTGGTATTTTTATTATTTTTTTTTTGTTTTTAATTTTATATTTTTTAGCGTTTTTTTATTTTTTTTATATTCACAAATAAATTAATTTTTGAAGCGAATCTTAATCTTTCGTATAGAAATAGATATGTCGCAAATATCTGGATTCGGTATATGAACTCCTTTATACTGTGCATAACCCAGATACCAAACTTAAGAAAACATCATGTTGTGAGGGACTACACTTTTTGCAAGCAATGAGTTTACATTTTTATTACTCAGATCATGTAAAATAATACACCACTATTTTTTTAAGAGAAGTAAGTCTCGTCTGTCGGCTCAGCAGCACCTGAATTCACTAAAAAACTGATTGCTCGTCACACCGAGTGACTTCTTTAAGTGTTTGCTATATCTTTTAAATGGATATATAAATCCATCAAGATTTGCTAAGTTTTCAGTATAAAAATATCGTTAAATCAAAGATATTTAGCAAAATTGCAAATTATTTTTTACAAAAATCTTATAAGTTTCTTGTACTATATTTTTGGTAAAATATAGTGAAAGATTAGAGAAGAACGGAAAATTTTACTTTATAAATGTTACTGCATGTATTTGTTGAGAATTTTAAGATAATGCAAGAGGTCACCGAGAATGTCGGATTCGCCTTGGCGTGGATGAATCAAATAATGAGTTCAACTTGCCATATCCTAAAAATTGAATGTATGCTCAACTTGAAATTTCACCTACATTAAACTATCACTATAAGCTATCACTTAGACCACTTTTGAATTGAATTCTTGAGGTCGACGAAACAGGCAAAAAATAAGGTTTTTTTTTTGGGTCACTCTTTTAAGTAATTTTTCTAATATGAAGTCTTTCCCGATACATATTTACTTGTTTTCGAGACATATCAACTTCAATATGCAATGTATGATGTAATGGAAAATCTATTATTTTATTTAAATCACACTCGGACTAAATACCTATTCTTTAAAAATATTTTTATAATTGTTATTCACTCAACATACTAATTTACAAACAATAAATTATGAAAAAAACAAATGATCAGCTACCGAAAAAAAAATTACAATAGTAAATCTTATAACTAGTATAGTTAAATTGAAAGACGCAAGCTGATAAAACTGTAATTATTGGAAAACTAATATGTGTCATCTGTCATAGTTACATGTTTTATTTTAAATAAATGACTGATATTTTAATATTATTTAAAATACGGTTTGTCTCTGCCTCTTATAAGATTGTACAATTTTTTTTTCTGTAGATCATTTGTTTTTTTATAATTTATTGCTTGTTAGTTAGTATGTGGTGTGAATAAAGCCATTATAACAATATTTTAAATGAATAAAGCCATTTATTATATTAACATTTTTTCTCAATGTGATTTAAATAAAGTAATAGATTTTCCTGTTACATCATACATTGCATATTGAAGTCAATATGTCTCGAAAACAAGTAAATATTGGAAAATATTTTATATTACAAAAATTACTCAAAATTTAACGATTTTTCAGATGAACCGCATTTCCACCTTCTAGGAATCAAACAATTTTTTTAGTATCGCTATGCCATCTATACAAAAAGATTTGAACTAACAATTCTAACTGCAATTTG